GGCCGGGCTGCGCCGCAGCCGCCCGGGAGGGACGGTCCGCGCCCCGAAGCCGGCAGCACACAGCGACCCTTCCCCTCGGGGCGCAGGGGGCCGCTGGGGTCGCCACACGAGGCGGCAGCAGCGGTGAGGGCTCTGCCGGCCCGGTGAGGGCTCTGCCCGCCCGGTGAGGGGCTCTGCCGGCCCGGTGAGGGCTCTGCCGGCCCGGTGAGGGCCCTGCCCGCCCGGTGAGGGCCCTGCCCGCCCGGTGAGGGCTCTGCCCGCCCGGTGAGGGCTCTGCCTGCCCGGTGAGGGCTCTGCCTGCCCGGTGAGGGGCCCTGCCTTGCAGGCCCAGCACCGCACAACGGGCACAGGGATGCTCCAATTCCTCTTCTGCTCTTCCTGGAGCTTGGGACTCTCAAGCAGGCTTTAGTTTGTCGTTTGGGTGCTCAGTAAATGGCTGCTTGGCTGTGCTGTGGAAATAATCGCAAAGTCCTTGTGAAGAAACCATCGTTTGTTTTTAGCTCACAGTGTGAGCGGTGCTGGCTGTTCCTGCCATTCCCAGTGAGTCCATTGTCTTGTGAAGAATTAGGGAAGATGTGTTTTCAGTGTCTTGTGGTTTCCTGCAGATCAGCTGAGCCCAGCTTGCACATCCAAGGCAATTCCTGCACAAGTAGGTGTTCTTACACAGAGCCATGTGATGATAAGAAATCCAAGGCCTTTGTTTGTTTGTGTGACTGGGGCAAGTCTGCCCGTTTCAGTTTCTTTTGCTCCCCTCGGGCTTGCCTTGAGCAGGTCCTTTGTGGCACCCTTCAGCCACTGGGACTGATTCCTGTGCTTTACACAGCAGCAGTCACTGCCTTAACCACTGCTCTGGCTCATAAGGAAAAGGTTTTCCTCCCTGAAGAGCTTGCTGCCTTCTCGCTGGCTGTAGCACATGTGCAGTGATATACCAGGGGGCTGAGGGTGTATTAGATATGCAGGTTTCTTCTGGAATTGCATAAATAATTTACAAAAGCAATGCCAGAATATGTTTTACGGTGGAAGTGTATCATGTTCAGATTGTGAGTTCATAACAATGGGCCTTGCACTGAGCTGTGCACGGTGAACATTACAGGAATATTTCCTTGAGTTCTTCAGGCACGTACCTCGTGGCTTTGGCAGTTCATTCCTTCACAGAGTTGGGGTTTGAGTGCCCTTTAAAGACAGGTTATCAGTGCTGACTCAGCTCCTTGCTTTGCCTTCCCAGTGCGGAGCTGAGGCTGCGATTTTGAGCCTGGCTCTCTGGACGGCCACGCTGGCTCCCTGTGGCCAGACTGCAGAGGTGTTTGCACACCTGAGCTCCGGGACTTGCCAGCCTCCTTTCCAGCACTCAGCTAATTGTTCCATGAGGATCTCCCCACTTAGCTCCTCTAATCAGGGTGTGGTTTTCTTATGAAGGAAGTGAGTGTTAATTAACTCTTACTTTCATTTCTCCAGGGATCTCTTTATGGAATCACCCATGCTGTGACCTGATGCTGCTGTCAAATATGGCTGTTCTTGTGTCTTAATTTAATTTTACTATTCTCTCATCTGTTACTGCAGAGAATGTTAATTTGTATACCCATGGCCCTTCTAGAACATCTAAAACTGACCTGTCAAAGTCTTTTGTTCACACTTTCAAATATTGCCTTGTAGGCACGTTGGAGATAAGACTGATCCTGCATTTGTGTTCCTACTTTCCCTGCTTGTTGCGTGGTACAGTGAGAAGGAGGACTTGATTTAGCATTTAGGAGGAGAAATTTGATCAGGCATTAGGTCAGCAGAGAGGAGGAGTAGGACAGAAGCTGAACACATGCCAGGGCTGAGTGTGCCTCTGCTCCTGGGGGCACAAGCACCTCTCCTGTGCCCTCCCTGAGCCTTCCTTGTGCTCAGCTCTGCCTGAGGGACTGGGGAGGGGGCTGTGGGCAAGAGGAGGCCGTGCTGGCTGACCCCTGGCACAGGCAGGGGCTGGCCTGGCAGCTCCTGAGGGCATTAAGAGCTGCCTGCAGCCCAGGCCCTTCTGGTGACAGCTCAGATCTTCTTGGCCTTGGGTATTAAAGGTCTGTTTCTGTGCCCTAATCCTGCAGGTTTCACCCTGAGTGTTCCCTGTGCTCTGCCTCGGTGCCTCGTGGGGATCCAGCAGTGAGGAGCAGGGAGCAGCTTTCTGTGCTAACCCCATACTGCAAGTGTCACCGTACTCTGATGTGCCTGTTCCCTTTTTAGAGGCAGTAAATGATTTTTTTATAGAGGTACAAAGTGGTACAGCAAGGTGCAGGAGAGAATTTGTGCCAGTTCTTTCTCTTTTCTTGTTCTGTCCCTTGTCATCTCAGAGTGGCTGAGTTGCCAGCCTTTGCCTGGGAGCAGGAAGGCACAGACAAGACAACAGCTCAGGGAGAAGCTGCAGGGGAATACTTGTGACGTTAGACAAGCCATTCCAGGGCCACCAAAATACAGAACAGTGCTTTTTCCTGTTAGTACAACAGCTTTATTTAAAGTCTCAGAGCTTGTAAATATTACAGATCACAAGGTGATTTAAATATGTTTGAGGCCAGAAATTTGTTCCCAGATTCAGCCCTTCCAGCAACACTGAATATTGGATGAAATGCAAATTGAGAAAAGATGTGACGTGGAGGAACTTTATGCCAGCAATCTCAGGGAGAGGGAAACTAGGACAGTGTGAGATGGTGTCTGATTTGGCCCTGTTAATTGGACCAGGGCAGAGGGAAGAGGGTAGTAGTGGCTTGAGGAAGAAGAATGTCATTTAAGAAAGTGTGTGCCCCTCCCATGGATAAATAGGTTTCTGTTTCAGTTCCCTGTCAGACAAATGGAGCAAGTCATCCAGGCAGCAGAATGGTCTGTCTCTGTTATTTCAGCCTTCAAAATGTCCTCTCAGATAAAAGTAAAACATGCTTTTTCCCTTGTTCTTTCCAACAGGAAAGAGACTACAAGAATGGATCTCTGTCATCTTATGCTTCTCTCTGATCTGCTTCAATTTTTACAACCTCCTCTTCTACCTGCGGCTGGAGCACACGCCCTCGGTTCTCGTTGGGATTTGTAAGTAGGAGCTGTTCCCTGCCCTGCTCAAGGCAGGACTCGTGTGATGTGGGATCCTTTAGGCTTGGCTTGCTGTAGGAAAGGGACAGGGATATTTGTGTGTGAGCCTCAGACTCAGGCCATCAAAATGTGTTACTGCTTTGTCTTCACCTTTTGGTGGCTTCTCAGTCTCTCAGAGGGGAAGCTTTGATGTAGCTGAGCAAGTTTGGTGTTCTTGTGTGGTCACTGCAAGTGTAAGGACTACTGAGAAGGAAAAGAGCTGCCAAAATGGTCAGAGTTGGGAACAAAATACATTGCTCGACAAAAATATTCACAAGAACTTTTCAGAAAGCAAAAGCTCAAGGGAAATGTTATAAAAGGTGTTTGAGGCCTCAAACTGGCTTCATTCCTGGGGGCTCCAGACTGAACACAAGAATTCTGGAGAATTGTGCTGTCATGTCAGGAGGTGATGTTTGGCCTTTATTATCCTGAATGGTGACTTTTTCCAGGAGTGGAAGAAAAGTTTATTTCGCCTCTTCTGTGGAGGAGAGGAAGAGCCAGTGAAGCATTCTGATAGAATGTTCAGCTCCTGTGCTTTAGGAAAATATAACTTTCCTATAAACTGTGTGAGGTGTGTTTTAGAAGAGAATGGTGCTTGTTCATCATCAGTGCTGTGCATTGCTAATGAGTGCAAACAAAACAAACCCACCCAAAGCACTGCAGCGGGTTCAGGCAGAGGTACCTGACAGAATTCCTGCCAAAGCTGGACGTGGGGATTCCTGGTGTCTGTCAGAGGTTGTTGGGGCTGGGGGGAGCCATGTCCCCCACTCTCGTGGCCCAATTCAGTGTTGCCTGCTGCCAGCTGCTGAGGTGGAGGTGTTGGGAGGAATGGAGGGAGCACGGCACGGGAGCTGCTCCTGGGGATGAGGGCAGATCAGACAGTCAGCAGTGATGGTTCACCTCTGCTGCAATCTGTCTGCAGCTGCCTTTCATCTCAAAGTTAATATTGATAAAAGCTGGAGTCCGCTGATATCCTGGTTACCAGTTTAACTGATAAAGCAGCCAATTCACTGATAGTATTATTTAAGCAGTAGTGAATGATTAAAGTAGCAGAATCTGGATTCTGTGTAAATAAAGTGGTGTGGAAATAATTGATAGTGTGTACAAAAATGAGTGCCATAAAATAGGAAGTGCTTCAGGCTATCTTGTTTTGTTGCCTTCAATACATTATTTCTCCAGGTGAAGTGTGAATGATGTCTGTAATTCACAGTAATTATTAGGTTTTATTGCACATTGTGCAAGTCATATCTGTAAAAGTCCTGATTCCTAAATACGTGAGCAGCTCCACAGGCACAGTTGGGAATCCTGAGTCACCTACAGGGTGAGGTGTGTTCCGCTGACAGCTTCCCTCAGGCTTGGTTTGGAATATTGACCTTGAGCTGAAGTCATAAAACAAACATTCTGCTAATAAAGATGGAGCTCTAGATGCAGTTCCTGCCAGGTCTTTGGCAGTCTGTGCCAGTGGGCTGGATCTGTTCTGCACAGACCTGTTCACTGCATAGGGACCCTCTGTGTGCTCTTATGTAAATACATATTTTCCTTTAGGAAATGAAGCACTTTGAACATTCTGCATCATTCCACTGAGCCTAAACCCTGGCTCTGCAATTAAAGCCATGTCGTAGCTTCTTTCTTTGTGCCTTTAGAGGCACACAGACCTGTACCACCAGCAGAGCTGTAAATGCCTTAACCTGGAGGTTCTCTGGACAGAGGAGATCTGCCCCTGCTGGGCTGGCAGTCAGGCAGCCCTCCCTGTGTCCCTCCCTGTGTCCCTCCCTGCCTGCTGTGCCAGGGTGGCATGCAGGTCTCCTGGCCCTGCTGAGTCACTCGGGGCCTGCAGGGAGCCAGCACTGAGGGGACACCTTGCTTCAGAGCAGCTCAGGCTGTGTCATGTCCTGCTGACTAAAGATGAGCTTGCTGGACAGGAAGAGCCACGGGGCTCTCTTGTCTTCTCTGGTTTAGCAGAGATGAGACAATTTCCTTCCCTCCTCACTGTAAGAAAAAAAAAAGAGTGGGCAGAGGATGGATTTCTGCTGTGGCTTGTGCTAACTCCAGCCGTGCCCTGCTCTGGGTATCCTCAGCTGCTGGGCAGCCATGGAGCTGTTCCTCTCTGAAGCTGAGGGCTGTGCAGATCTGAGTTTGGTGTTTCATTTGCATGCACACAAGCACCCAGTGAAGTCAGGCAGCCCTGGCTGGGAATGGGGCTGTGGGGGAGCTGGAACACCCCCGTGTTTCCCACTGCAGCAGGACAACGTCCCAGCAGTGCCACAGAACCAGGGCAGCCTCTGCCGCTGTAATTGAGGGTTGGTAGTGCCAGGGACAAGGCTGGCAGAGGGATTATTGTGTGGTAAGCAGAAAAGCCTCACCAAGACATGGAATATCAGGCTTGAAATGCCCTCATACCTTCACGTGAGCTTGTGGTGTCCAGCATATTCACTATACATGAGCTGAGTATATGGTTCATATATTAATAACATCTAGATAAAAAGTTTGGCAAGTTACAGCATGAATCTTGGTTTTCATTTTCCTCTCCTTCCTCCCATTTTTGTATAGGGTTTTAAATCCTTTTTTTCCAAGTTGGTTGACTTGTTTCAGGCATGTGACTGTTATCTGCAGCTACATTTGTTCATGACAGGGACTGTTCATTGCAGTCTTACAAAAAAAGAAGAGTTAACTTTGTGTTGTAACCTGTTTATATTCCTAGGAACTGCCCCACATAGGGCAGATATCTTTAGGAACATCTTGTGACATGATACCAGTTACAATTAATTACTGCTCTCTTGAAAGATAGGCAACTGATTTTTTTTAACCCATTTGAGGTACATGTTTCAGTATTGCAGAGGCTGTGGGTTAGCCAGAGAGAGCACTCAGGAAGAAATCACTTAGTGCAGTTTCAAAATAGAAACTGGATCTCATCAAGGCCCAGAACCTCTTTGTTTCCAGCTCCAGCAGCTCTGCAGGGCTGTCCATGGTCAGCTGCATTGCAGAGCAGATGTGAGTGTGTAACACATGAAAGCTGTGGCACATATGGGTGAAAAAACACTGCAGAGACATCTGGGCTGGCTGAACTGAGTGCTGGGCACGTGGCTCAGGTGTCCACACCCTGCTGCCTCTCAGCTCCAAGGGTGGCACTTCATCTTGGATTTATTATGCGCATTAAAATGAGTTTCCACCTGAAATTTTGTTCTAAAAGGCTCTTGAAATTACCCCAGAAATCTCAGCTAGCAAAGGAGAATGATCCTTTACTTCAGTGCTGGTCCAAGTTGGTTCTTTGTCACCTGCTGTCTCACCCACCTGAAGTAACCATCTTGGTAGCTGTGGGTAACTTTGAGTTTCCATTCTCAGCTGCATCATCCCTTAAAGAGGGCAACTCCACAGGCTGTGATTACAGAGATGGAGCTTTGGTTCTGTTCCCCTAGCAGATACCTTTGTGTTGCAGCAGCAGGCTTTGTGTGGTGTCTGCTGGGGTGGTTCCCGTGGAGCCCTGCCTGGTGGGGCACCAGGAGGAGGAGGAGGAGGGTGTTGCTCCTGGAAGTGAAGTGACCTGGCACAGTTATGGCTGGTTTGGCCTCAGCAGGTGATGCTGCACCATGATCTGTTCCTCCCTGGGACTGGGGGCACTCCTTGGCTGCTCAGCTCCTGCCCTGGCACTGCTGGGGGCACGGCCCCATCTGTGTCCCCAGGGCCGTGCCAGGGGACAAAGGCAGCTCTGTCTGCCTCCCAGTTGTCGGGGGCTCTCTTAAAGTCCCAGCAGAGTTTGGCTGGAGGATTAAGTTGATCAGGTGGTGATTCTGAGCCGAGCTTTTGTAGGTGAGTGTTTGCTTTAAGCTCTGCTGCTGTTCAGCCCTGGAGGGGACAGGACCCCGATTCTTGGGGACCTCCTTTCACTGCGGGGGCTGGTGGGGCTGTGCTGTGCTCCAGGGGCATTGCTGAGGCAGGGCATTGGTCCAGGGCATTCCCAGAGCAGGGCCAGCCCCCAGGAGAGGTGTCTGCTCTGTGGGTGGTGCCAGGCTGCCAGGGAGCGCTGCTGTGACAGAGCCAGGCTGTTGGTGGCCCTGGAGGGCGGGTTCTGCAGCCAGGGCTTTTGGCAGCCCTGTTACACTGTGATACAACTGCTGGAGTGATGCATTTCTGTCCCAGCCCTGCTTGTGGGCACCCTCAGCTCCAGTTCTGACTGAAAGTTCCTTAGCTTTATTAGCCAAATTTATGAACTCTTCTTTTTTTCTCTTTCAAGTAGCTGCAGTTTATACTTATTGAAATGTCCAGGGATTATAACCTTAGCCTTGTAACTTGCCATCATATCAAACCCCTCCCTTCTCTGTACTGAAAGAGACTAAATGGGGACTGCAGGTGACTAAGGTATTTTATTTTCATTAGCATATAAGTGACAAACAACTGCTACTTTGGCATATTGATATTTAGACAACAAGATATTTATGTGTGAAGTTAGCCACGCTGACCCTTCAATGCTGCTCAACCAGTTCCTGCTGTCGCCCATTAAACACGACTGTGCTCTCAGGGATGTTACACAATAGCATCAAGTCATTAAATAACATCGTATCCTGGTTTCTTCCTCTCCAGAGACTCCAACTTTTACAATAAGTATGAAACTTTGTATACTTTGATGTAAGACTTCCAGGTTACAATTTGCTCATTCTATCTACGCGAAGACAAGCTCACGTTGGGCTCAGAAAGTCCTGGTGAAGTACAGCTTTTAATGGTAAATGTGCACAGCAGTTTTGTCTCTCAGAGCTCCTGTGGGGCCCCAGGTGCAGCCTGGCCACGGGAAGTGGTTTGAGAGTCACCCACAAGAGCAGAGCCTGCAGGTTGTCTCAGTTTGACTGAAGCAGGGAGGAGGTGGAGAGGGGCCTTTCCTGGGTCACAAACCCTGCACACTCCCTGCTTTCTGAGCTGCACAGAGCTGCCCTGTGTCCGTGGTGTTTGGGGCAGTGCTTGTCCAGCTGCATGTCCTGCTCTGGGGAGGGACACCTGGTCTAGTGCCTGGGAGGTGCCCACACAGAGGATCACAAGCGTGGGGAAATGGGACAGAGCAGCATTTCCAGCAAGTGTGTGTGGCAGTCCAGTGTTTGCCTGGGTACTGCTTGGAGTCCATTTGTGCACCCTTGGGTTCCATGTGGGCTGGGCTGCCTTCCTTCCTCCTTGTTCTGCAGCCTACTTGCAAACCAAAAAATCCCAGTGTTCTGAGCAAGTCCTGCAGTTCCTGTCCTTCTGCCCTCCTGGGTGCTCTGAGCATGGCCTCCTCCTCGGGGATAACCCCTGGATGGGCCAATCCTCACCCCTCTCTCAGTGAGCTGGAGGAAAGCTCGTGTGTGTGGGTCAGGACCTCCCTAATGCTGCACTGAGCTGGCTTCTGGTGAGTGTTGAATCCACCATTTGCAGTTCTACACCTGAGCTGGGGTTATCTTGCTTTTTCTGGGTGTGTGGTTAACATTTCACCCGTGCTCAGGGCTGTCAGTCTGCTCTCACCCTCCCAGCCTTGATGGCAGAGCATCGAGATCTTCTGCCACCTGTGAGCAGCAGCTGAGCTCCTGTGCCTTGGTCCTGCCATGCTCAGGGAAGGCAGTGCTGGGTGTGTGAGGGTGCCCAGCTCGTCAGTGGATGTGCCCTCTGAGGCACAGGACACACACCAAGTGCCACCGTGCTCAGGGAAGGCTGTGCTGGGTGTGTGAGGGTGCCCAGCTCGTCAGTGGATGTGCCCTCTGAGGCACAGGACACACACCAAGTGTCACTGTGCTCAGGGAAGGCAGTGCTGGGTGTGTGAGGGTGCCCAGCTCGTCAGTGGATGTGCCCTCTGAGGCACAGGACACACACCAAGTGCCACCACGCTGCTTCTGGGGAGCCTCAGCACAGCTCTTGCTCTTGCTGCGACTCCCCCTCCACGAGCACACCCTGCTGCAGTGCAGCTGGAACAAGATTGCTGTGAGTTAGGTTTTTTCCCAATTGCTCTGGTATAATGCACTGCTCCAGGCACCCTCAACTCTTCCCTTTACCAGCTGACATGCAGACAACACCAGGAGCATCTATTGAGCTGTCAGTATTCTGCCTCAATTTGTGTTGCTGCTCCTGCAGTTGTTTCACTGGGGTGATGCAGCAGCTGGAGGCGAGGCAGGCTAATGGGGGCATTACCTCAGCGACAATGGCATTTGAGTTGTTGCAAAGAGAAGTGTTGTTTGGATATCCCCCCCTGAAGGAAGGCTGCCTGCCCTTTCAGCTGTAGGAGCAGAGCTGAACGCTGTTGTGTCCCAGCCACTCCTGCTCTAGCCTGTGTGTGTGGTCTGAACAAGAACAAATGCACAGAATCTACTGCTGAGAAAATAAGCTGTCTTCAGTGTAATAAGGGGTAGATAAAGAATGAAGTGTCTCCTGCTGCATTTAATAGTTTGGGCCAACTGGATAACAGATTCAACAGCAGGGGCTGATTTATAATAGGGAAGGAGCTTTTTTATTTCTTCTCCTTTCTGAAAATGAAAGGTGAGGGGAAGGACTGCAGAGGTAAGGGGTCAGCTAAGCAAAAGGTACCCACTAGAGAAGGTATTTCTGTTCTGTAGGAGATGGGCTAAACACAAATACAGATTTAGTGAAGATTGCTACTGTCCAAATGGTGTCTTGCTAACCTCTTGCCTGACTGTATGTTTATTCAGACTGGGTAGATCTCATGTGGTTGTAAATATCAAAGTTAGAGCAGATAAACAAGTGAACTCCTGAATAAGATGTGACTGAGTCAGTGAAAGTGCTGTGTTTGTGTGACTCTCTCTCTCTCATTCAAGTTGCAGGAGTTATTACGGCCGACTTCCTCTCAGGACTGTTCCACTGGGGAGCAGATACCTGGGGATCTGTGGAGCTGCCCATCGTTGGAAAGGTGGGACATTGTTGTTCCTGAGCTGAGAGAGCTCTGGAGTGCCTCCTGCAGCACTGCCAGTGCCCCCAGCTGAGCTGGGCTCTGTGCCACACGCAGCCAGGGCAGCCTGGCTCTGCAGGGCAGGGCTGTGTTTGCACTGTGGGCACACGTGTGAGGTGGCACTGCTCCATTGTCACCTGCCTCGAGGCTGGCAGCCTTGCAGTCCTAGTGCTTGCAGACCCTTCAGGCTCTTGGGAACAGCCTGTGGCAGCACAGTGCTGCACCCTGGCTGGGCACCGTGCATGTTCAGAAGGGCAGGAGCACAGATTTGGGGAGTTGTCCCTGCAGCTGAACTCCCAAAAATTTGTGAAACATGAGGCTGCTCCAGGAAGAATCTTGCCATTTCCCTCTTCTATGAGCCCCTGTTGTAACTCAGTAGTATTAGAATGGTGGTGACTGAAGATTTAATTTGACATGTCGTATACACCTGCAGCTACAAATGCCAGGTGCTTAGTGGAAGGTGCACTGGCTTCTGTAGTAGGCAACAATCTGTTTTCTTAATTAAATTTCTTAATAGCTACCATTAATTACTCCTCACAGTGCAATATTAGAAGGATCATTATTTATGTTTTCAAAAGTGGGCTATTCCTTGTTATTATCCAGAGTTACATGAACTACAACAGCAGAATTAAAACTGTTGAATTTGGCTTTTTTGTTCACCTTCAATGGACTTAGTAATCTTGAACCCCTGTATCTCTGGACCACAGTTTAATTAACTTTTAAAAACCCTTCTGCTAGAGACTCTGCACTAAATAACCACGAGCTGAGGCTGCTCAGGACACCTTTGCACAGGCTGGACATGCTGCAAGTGTTAAAGGCAAATCAGTGACTGTGTCCCACACAGCAAAACAATTGCTCTGTGTGTTCAGATGTGGTTGCTGCTCCTAGAGGTGACTTCTGTATAGTCTGTTTGTCTTCCACTGCTTTGTCCAGTCGCTTCATTTGCATTTAGTCTGTTAGTGCTGGCATCTGTAGCCCATAAATATGTTAGACTGAATCCTAATTTTTAGTGGGCTTTTTCCCTTGGTTTATTCTGCTTAGCAAGTGAATTTCACAGGGTTTTGCCTGGGAAATTAGGGTGCTGATGCTTTGTTTTTAAGATTACATACTAAAGGTCCTAAGTGAAAATTTAGAAGAAGAAAACTGAAAAGCAAGGAAAACCTGGATTTGTGTGTGGGAACTAAATTGCCTTGCAAATGTAAATCAAATGATCTGAAGAGTCATCATGACAGAAGTTTGAATCCCATTTACATGCTTGGTACTATGGAACTCTCTCCAATTCAGTCATCAGATCTGAGTGTATGAGAGTTTGTTTGGGTTATTTTTTGCAATATTTTTCTTTTCCAAGACCATTATTGAGTGTGGTATTGTGTCTATCCAATTGTTTTCCCAGGCTTTCATCAGACCCTTTAGGGAACACCACATTGACCCCACAGCAATCACCAGACATGATTTCATAGAGACCAATGGAGACAACTGCTTCATGACACTGGTCCCCTTGGCAAACATGGCATACAAATTTGTTTCCTTTTCCCCAGGTAAGCTGGTACTCCTGACTGCTGTGGATTTAGTGTTCTTGTTGCTATTGAATGAACATTTGTCCATGTGAAGTTTGGAGGAATCCGTGGATGTGATAGGACAAGAAATAGCTGCTGGAAGCATGGTGCTCCTGGCAGGAGGGAGGGGAACTCTCTTTCCTTTGGGGTGTGGTGGCAGAAGGTGGCACAGTGAGGTTCTCTCGCTCAGCAGAGAATCTGGGGCTGGGGAGTTGTGCAAGGAAGATTAGAAGTTATGCTAAAAACTTTTCTTATAAGAGGGACCAAGCTGTGAACATCTGGGGGAACTCATTGTTCCAAAGTGTGTAACACAAAACAGTGCTTCACCTCTGTGCACAAGTACTTTATGTGCAAACCAGTCAAGAACTAAAGGATCAAATTAATTTTATAGATGGTAAACTCAATTTGACTGGCTGTTTATGGTGTGTTGACAGATTCTGGCACTTCCCAGCCTGTCTTGTGACATTTGGGAATTGCTCATGGCTCACTGGCTCCTGTGACACTTCTGCCAGAGCAGCTTTGGCGAGGCCTTTGTCAGCTCCTGCAGCAGCAGGACGCTGTCCTGGCAGGAGTGTGCCTTCCATAGCTGCTGTCCCACTGTTTTGCAGAGGCGCTGTGTGAGAGCTGTCCCTGGGACTGTTACGTCTTTGCCCTCATCATCTTCATCACCATGACGAACCAGATCCACAAGTGGTCCCACACGTACTTTGGCCTTCCACGCTGGGTCGTGTTCCTGCAGGACTGGCACATCATCCTGCCCCGGAAGCACCACAGGATCCACCACGTGTCCCCACACGAGACCTACTTCTGCATCACCACGGGTACTGCCCCGCTGCAGGGACAGCCGTGGGACAGCTGCAGAGCCCTGCAGCCACCCCTGCCCTCACAGGCTCGGGGGAGCTGCACTTGGGTTTTTGCATCAGGAGGGTGGGGGAAGGTCTGTGATCAGCTGCAGGAGCTCGGAGCCTGAGGGAGCAGTCAGTGGTGCTGAGATCTGATTGCCCGGGGTCTCAGTGAGCTCAGCCACTAATGGGGTTTGTTCACTAAAGCTGCTGTTCCTTCAAAAGAGCAGAATGACTGCAGCTGCTCTGGAATGCTCATTTCTGAAAGCCAGGCTTCTGGATTGTCAGCATCCACTCATTCTGACTCAGAGGTTTGCAGAAAGCTTTAGCATTCTTTTATATCTGTACAGGTGGGAATGCTCAGTCACCAGTGTTGCACAACCCTAAATAAGTTATCAAGTTAATCAGACAGCTGGAAATAAACCACTCTGGTTCTTCATTGTCATTGGCTTCGACAAACGGTTCATGTGGGTTTTGAAACCTCTGCCAAGAAAAAAAAATCTAATTCTCATTAGCAGAATGTCATGTAGAAACATGGTACAATTAAGAAGCCTGACTTGACAGATGGTAGCAAAAATCTTGCCACCCAAGGAGCTATTTTTAAGTCCTACTATGTCCTGAGAGTTTAAGCCTGACCATTATTAGCAGTATTGGGCTGGTTGCTTTTTTTTCTCATTAAAAAGCACTGAACTTTGGATGCTATGACAAACTAATCCTCTTTTTCCTTTGCAATCCCTTAGGTTGGCTGAATTATCCGTTAGAGAAGATAAGATTTTGGAGATGTTTGGAGAACATCATCCAAGGACTTACTGGGGAGAAGCCAAGAGCAGATGACATGAAATGGGCTCAGAAAATCAAGTAACTTCTGCCAGCCTTCTGCAATCCTTAACTTGTTGCCAATGTTGTTTTTAAAAGAAAAAAAAAAATAAAGCCATCAGCCAAATTCAAGACCTGCAAAGAAATAACAGACTCTAAAGCACAAACTAAAAAGTGCTAACACAGACTGCAATGAAAAGAACTAATTCTTAAAACAATACTTGAAATGAAGATGATTACTCTCACTGAGCACCTTTTTGTGTAGCCATGTCTGCTTACACCTTAGACTTGCTTGGTCGCTGTGTCCGTGAGGGCCCGGGCACCCACAGCAGCGCGGGCACGCGGGCCGTGGGCACAGGAGGCCTGTGTTGTATCAACATTGCTGAGCCTGCCCCGACTGCGTGCTGCCCAGACCTGCAGGAGAGCCGTGCCAGCTCTGTCACTCGGTGTTGGAGTGCAAGGGCAGTGGGGGAGCAGTGGAAGCTGTGAAATCATGACTGCTCGATGCACTCGCTGATGGTCCACGCTCTGCTCTGTCTTCACTATCATGTTCAAGCTGATTGATGTCCTGTGGAACAGACTTGGAGACTCCCGCTCCTCCAGGGGCCACCAATCCTCAAGTGTCTTCAGTTTCCCTTAAAACAAAATTGTTCTACTCTCCACATGGAATTTCTGCATAAGCCTTCAACTTCAGGAGCCTCTGAGGAGAGGGAGGGCACCCTACAACACATGTGTCTGTTCGTGTGGAGTGCTCACTGCTGAGTCTTCTATTAAGTGTTTCCTACCCTGACAATAAATGTTTGAAATAGTTCTAGCATTGGGCACACTGCAAATAGCTGTATTCAAGAGCTCAAGGTATCAAACTCGTAATGTTAGAAGGGAAATGTCAATGACTGGTGTTTCGTTCTTTTTATTTTTTTAAGGTGCTTGCTTGTTTCTGTAAATAATATAAAGCCTTAATCTCTTCTGGTGTAATGGAATAATATTTTAATGTGATGTTTGAATGTATATAATATATTTATAACAAAGCAGTTGGATAATACTAATCATGTTCAAGTCTTGTTGCTGTTTTTCATTGCTGCACTGGCAGCACTTAGTGCAAGAGCTGCATTGGTGGTTGCACAGCACCTCGTGCAGTCCCACACCTGAGACCCCTGGCAGCCTGTCACACTTGTTTGGGTTGGAGTGATCATCTGGCACTGTGTTAGACCAGACTTGTGCACCTTTCAGGCAGTGTAAGTAATTCATTCTGCTCTGGATGCAAAGGAGTAACCCCAGCTGAACTGGGGTGAAGAAGTTTCCCTAAAAACATCCAGCAGGCACTTTATCAAGTCAGTGTGCTTTGGATCTTGTTCAGTTCTTTCTTGCCTGACTGAAAGCTTAGTGATGATCACATGTAAGGCGTGTTCCCTCCTCTAGCTGTAAATTGTGTTAAATTTGAGCTGCCTCTTCCTGAAGAGCAGGGTGAGAGGGCTTTGAGTCACAGGCTTAGACTGACTTTGATCTCCACTCCTTCATCCATCCTTCATCCATGGATGCTGCGTGAGCTGGGACCTGGCAGCTCTGCTGCAGTGGGAGTGCTGAGCTGGGTTCTGCAGATTAACATCACAGCTGGGACCTTGGCCACAAAATCTTTCATGTAAGTGTTCAGGCCCCTGGAGAGCTTTATGCCATTACATGGAACTCTCTTCTGGTCCCATTGCCACAGTCACCACCAGGTCTCTGTGCAGCTCTGACATTAAAGAATTCTTCAGTTCAGCAGGAGTCCCAAACTGCCTTCAGCTGATTCTGGAGAGCCCTGGACAGAGCTGGCTGGATGTTCAGGGCTCAGCCTGGGTCCTCTGAGAGCTCTTCACTGCAGGTGTAAATGCCAAGTGAGTGCAGTGGTTCAGTGGATGGAACAATGGATTTGGGACCCAGAAATCACAGAATTTGTACTTGCAAAGTGCTGTTCAAGGCATTGCTGGTGCCTTACTGGAAACAAATCTGAGCTACTCACACTGCTGCTGCTGGGACTGTTTATCTGTTAATCTTGCTTAATTGTGAGAAACTGGGCCAGAGTTAATCTGCAGATGCATTTCCCACGTGGATGCTGTGCTGGCTCCTGGGGCAGCCCTGCTCTGTGACCCACACCCGACGTGCCTGCGGCTCCCAAGGTCCTGTCCCACCCCTTCAGAGACCTGGATGCTCCCACAAAATCAGTGTGGCAATTCTGGAGCAACAGGCTGTGTGGATCCTTCTTAACAGCTGTAAATCTGGCTTAAGAAAATGTGTCTTAAGTTGATCAGGAATAGATTAGAGCTGAGGCAGAATGAGGCACTCCTGTTAAACTCCTCAGGGATGGATGGCCTGCATTGCAGTTCAGTGCTTTTATAAGCTTTGGTTTCAGTCTCACTCCATGGAGAACTGTGGTCAGGAGAGTCTTGGAGAGCAGCTGTGATCCCTCACTGCATCCCAGGAGCAGGAGAGATCCCTGCGCCCATCCCAGGAGCAGGAGAGATCCCTGCAGCCATCCCAAGACCAGGGGTGCTCTGCACTGCAGAAGGCCCCAGACAGAGCTGGCTGGGGCCAGGGCTGCACAGGGCAGTGTTCCTTCTGCTGCCTTTTCCTTTCCTTCTGCTGCCTTTTCCTTTCCTTTCCTGTTCTGGCTGTTTCACAGCTGCTTTGGGGCTCATTTTCTGAGCGTGTGTTGTAAAGCGAAGTGAAGCAGAACTCATTTCCTTCCCATTTCTTTTTTCTTTTTTCCGTATAACGCCGGAGGGGAGCGGGCTGGGGGAAGCTGGGCCGGACTGCAGGCGGTGTCTCACGCCCCACGGCGCCGCTGTCCCGGAGCCCCGGGGCCGGTGGCGGGGCTGCAGCGGGCGGCGATCCCGCCCGCCCGCGCCGCGGAGCTGCGGGAGCGCCGCGCGTGCACCACAGAGCTCCGCGCGC